TTTTTTTTGTTTGTTTTTTTAAATGAGGTTGATAAAAATTCATAAATAATTCGTAATGGTGTAAAAATACAGCCAAAGAAGGGAGCTAGTAGGGGAGGACAAGTGTAGTAGAAAGAATAGGGGAAGGGTGAGGATGTGCTGCATACAAGGAGAGCAATACCTGTCCTGGGATATAAAATTAAAATTCCCCTACAATTACCATGCGGTTTCCATTCTGCATTCAGATTTTCACTTATGCATATAAAGCAGCATTTAAGTGTCAGGTGCCAATAATTGCAAACTTCTTAGATACACAATTTGAATACTGGGCCAAATTCTAATCTCAGTTACACTATTGTAAATATGAAATAACTCCACAGAAGTCATTGTAAATTTCCACCAGTGTAACTGAGATCAGAATCTGACTTACTGTGTTTAAACCTTGTCATCTAATGAAGGCATTCACCATCAAATGCACATGCATAACTGTGGAGTAAGCTGGGTCCTTTCAGTAGCTCCTTCACAAAATGACCCCCCAGAACATGTATGTAGTTTGAGTGACATAACCCTCTGCATGTGAAACTGGAAACCTCTAAAGAGCTGCTGTTTGACTCCAAGTGATATTATGGTTTGATCATACACCTGTTTTTACACTCTGCTATCTGAAGTAAATAGTTCCTGAGTTCATATGATGCGTATAGGGAGGCAAATGTTTATACATCTGTTAGCTAACTCACCTATTTACATTTAGGGTCATGTTTTCATGACAATAGACATTTAGGAGAAACCTGCGAGCATACATGTGCATTTTTGCACGTACTTTTGTTCATGTAGCTACTGTGGCTGTCTGCACAAAGAGAGTGATTACACACATTGACAGCTACTTATATCCCTTACCAGTTCTTTGATATACAAATAATCTATTTGCGAGTGCGATCACACTGAGCGTATGCTTGAGATGTTTTTAAAAATCTGGTCTTTAACTCTAGTATACATGGACAACCAGCATGTTTACTTGTGCAAGTGGAGTATTTACTGTTTAAAAATCACTGTATGACTTGGGATTTATAATCTCATCAATGAGTTTTATACTCTTATGTACTAGTATATATGTACTAGTAATTTTAAAAATGTGTGATCTTCGTTGGGTCTGTCAAGGTTCCTTCCCCAGTCTGAACTCTAGGGTACAGATGTGGGGACCAGATGTGGGGACCTTACTTTTACCAGCTTAGGTTAAAACTTCCCCAAGGTACAAACTATTTTACCCTTTGCCCTTGGACTTCCACTGCCACCACCAAACATTTATCTGGGTTTATTTTTATTAGGAAAGCGTCGTTTGGAAACGTCTTTCCCCCCAAAACCCTCCCAACCCTTGCACCCCACTTCCTGGGGAAGGTTTGGTAAAAATCCTCACCAATTTGTGTAGGTGACCACAGACCCAAACCCTTGGATCTTAGAAAAATGAAAAAACATTCAGTTCTTGAAAAGAAACATTTTAATAGAAGAAACAGTAAAAAGAATCACCTCTGTAAAATCAGGATGGTAAATACCTTACAGGGTAATTAGATTCAAAACATAGAGAATCCCTCTAGGCAAAACCTTAAATTACAAAAAAGACACACAGACAGGAATATGCATTCTATTCAGCACAGCTATTTTCTCAGCCATTTAAAGAAATCATAATCTAACACATACCTAGCTAGATTACTTACTAAGTTCTAAGACTCCATTCCTGTTCTGTCCCCGGCAAAAGCATCACACAGACAGACACAGACCCTTTGTTTTTCTCCCTCCTCCCAGCTTTTGAAAGTATCTCGTCTCCTCATTGGTCATTTTGGTCAGGTGCCAGCGAGGTTACCTTTAGCTTCTTAACCCTTTACAGGTAAAAGGATTTTTTCTCTGGCCAGGAGGGATTTTAAAGGCGATTACCCTTCCCTTTATATTTATGACCGGGTCAAATTTTCTGCTGGAGTAAATGGTCAAAAATGGAGCCATCCTCATTTACACCAGAAAATTTTGGCCCTATAATCTTCATGCATTAGTCAAAGTATAAGGGAATACCAGTTACTGATGCACATGCTAATATTATTTTAGAACACTGTGAACAGATGAAAATTGTACTGTGACAGGGATTTTCTGCTTTCTGTAGCACTTGTCATGTCTTTGAGTAAAGTGAAAGGCATGTCAGGGATGCCTTTTCGGCTGAGGTATGTCACTGCTGGTTGTGGTATCTCTTTCACTTCACTGACATGCATATTATGTGTCAAAAAGGACTCAGTCCTATTCCTATTTAAGATGGCAGCAGTCTGGCCATTGACTTCAATGGGAGCATGATCTGGCCCAACGTATTTCAACTAGTACTACTGTTGATTGAAACCTAACGCCTGTGTGACAGTAACTAGTTCAGCAGAGAGTCCAACACTGCTTTTTTCATTATGTGTAATATGCTTCATTATTAATAATATTTCATATTTTTGGTGTGTTATCTGGGCGTATGGTACAATATTTCAGATCACTCAGTGTGTCTCTGGTCTGTTATAAATGTCTTGTTTAAACTATCCTAATCTTTCTATCTATGAAATTCCAAGAGAGCTTATTTTGTATTTAGAAGCTTACAGCTTTGTTTGGTTATATGCATATTGGAGCAATCAAGAACTTTGCTCCAGCCTTTCATATAGGTTCTGGGCTGAATACTACTGAACATTGTAGTGTCTGGAAAATGTCCCCCTCTGCTCTTCCCCCTTCCCTGGAAATGTCAGTGCAAATGAAAACAATTTTAGCTTCAATGGGAAGAAAAAAAAGTATTTGAAAACTGAAAAAAATTATTCAGCAATGCTGCTGTGGTGCCTCAATGGGAGTTACATTTCGGGTGCCTCTTGCTCCCATTCTTTATTGGCCGGGCTACCTGGTCATACAACATTTCCCATGCTGCACCATAGTCTGTCTGATCACTCAGATACCATGGTGTATCATAGGAGTCCATAGCCAGGATACTTCCTGGGAGATGTAATCTGTCTAGGGAACCCAGCCCATGGTGGAGTACTTGGGGCATGAGACTTGCAAACTACAGCTCTCATGAAGCAGTGCAGCAGCTTTTCCAGTTACAAATGTTTGGGGTGGTTAGTTTTTCTATGAAAAATTTGACTTTTTAATGAAAACCAGACACTTTAAAAATATATCTATTTGGTTGAAAACCCAGCTTTGCACCAATAAACAGTCGTGTTGGAATATTTTCCAAACAAAGCCCTATTGGTCATTTATTTAATCTCCTCCAATATTTTCCCAGAGAATTTGGCCTTACTTTAGAATTAGATATTTAAGGGTCACTAGCTGTAACTGAAGAATACTCTTACATATATTTTTTGAGCAAGAATTGTTCTGTTGAGTTTTAAACTGCCAGTCTTTCTCTTTTGGAGTTGGTAAGTTTTTGTTGTTGGCTGGACCCATGAGGAGAATTCAGAAAGACATGCTGAGATTTTAGTTTGGACAGAAGGTGATTGGTTCGGAGTCCAGAGGTAGATTTGTTATAAAGGTGATGAACCTCTGTCCGATGAGACCCCCATCAAAAGGGGGAAAAGTAGCAGGAGCACCAACTGAACAAGACATCAAAGGAGCAGTTAGAGGGAGGAGAGGGCGGAGCCAAGAAAGCCCAGGGATGACAGGATTTCAAGAAGAGGAGCATTACAGTCAACAGTGTCAAAGGAAGCTAGCAGATCATGAAGGAAGAGGATGGAATAAAAGCCCTTATATTTGTCCTCGAAGAATTCATTAGGGACCTTGATGAGAGTTGTTTAGTGGAGTGTAGGGAGTAGAAGCCACATTTGTGGACTGGGGGTCCAAAATGGAATTATATGAGATGAGTTTAAGGCTGCTATTCATTCAGTTAGTATAGGAATGAAGGGCAGAAAGAAGGTGGAGTGAAACTTTTAGTGGGAGTTGGGACTAAAGCCAGGTTTTTTTAAAATGGGACAAACCAATTCATGTGTCTGTTGGGAGGACGAGGAATGATGAAGAATACTGTCACATCAAGATTTTATTTTAAATTCATGATCCTTGATTTTATAGTGTTTATTCAACAGCAGAAAACCCATTACCTTGTTAATATTATACTAGCTCCATATTGTCATTGTGACATATTGCATTCTGTACTGGACTCCTGTCATTTAAAACATTGCAGCAAAGGAACATGGTACACTTGTGTTTTTATGCAACTTCTCCAAGGTCAAATATAGAGTATACCTGTGAAATGTCTTCCAAACTTTTTTTGTATGCTTCTTGAGCACAGTAGAGAAAAACAATTAGGGATAAATTTCCAAAGAAAAGCAGTATTAAAAAATAGCAGGATTTGAGCTAGCATGTCCTGAGCGTTACTTTGAGAAAGTACCCATTAATGCCACTGGCATATTTTTTTCCTGTTCCGCAGAAACAGACTTGAGTTGTTCAAAGCAAGGGCTGCCAAAGTTTGGAGACATTTACTTTTGAATGCTCTTAATTCAGCTGACAAGAGCAGTCCATTTATCTTGTGACCTATTTATATTCATCAAACAAACTCTAGCCAATGATCTGCTTTACTTAACATAGTACAGTAGGTGGAAGATTAAGAGCATGTCTAATGCACTCATGAAAATAGCCATGCATATGTCTGATACACTTCACTGCAGAAATGTGGCTATACCGTATAATTGTCATGTATTAAATATAAACAGGTTTATACTATAAAGGGCAGAAAATGAAAAGTTAATCTGACTGCTTTGTAGATCCAATATCTTTTGGAGTCTCTTTAGTGTGTTGTTTAACCCAGTGGGGAATAATGTTGTGAAAATGTTTATGTTCTGTTTATGTTCTGGTCCTAAATTTTTTGAAAGATGCATTCTTGGCTTTTTATTATGAGTTCTCAACATATTATTTAAATAAATACTTAGTTGTCTTATTTTTCCATAGTAATTTAATGGATATAAGAGACTTTATTTCCACTGTGTAATTACAGAGTTGTAAATTGAACTTCTCTCTTCACTTCTCAGGTTATTTTTGAAGTGGTCACTTCAGGTCATCAAGGATATCTGGCTATTGACGAGGTGAAGGTTTTGGGACATCCGTGCAGTAAGTGCCTATATTATTTTGGAACCATCTTTCTAAAATGTATTTGAGACAATATTCCAATATATGTCTATCAAGGTTCCTTCCCCACTCTGAATTCTAGGGTACAGATGTGGGGACCTGCATGAAAGACCCCCTAAGCTTATTCTTACCAGCTTAGGTTAAAACTTCCTCAAGGTACAAACTTTTACCTTTTGTCCCTGGACCTCATGCTGCCACCACCAAAATGTCTGACAAAAATAACAGGGGAAGTGCCTACTTGGAAATGTCTCCCCTCCAAAATATCCCCCCAAACACTACACCCCCTTTCCTGAGGAAGGCTTGATAAAAATCCTCACCAAATTGCATAGGTGAACACAGACCCAAACCCTTGGATCTTAAGAACAAAGAAAAAACAATCAGGTTCTTAAAAGAGAATTTTAATTAAAGAAAAAGTAAAAGAAAAATCTCTGTAAAATGAGGAAGGGAAATACCTTACAGCGTAGTCAGATTCAAAACATAGAGAATCCCTCTAGGCAAAACCTTAAGTTACAAAAAGACACAGAAACAGGAATATACATCTAATTCAGCACAGCTTATTTTATCATCCATTTAAACAAAACAGAATCTAGCGCATATCTAACTAGATTGCTTACTAACTCTTTACAGGAGTTCTGACCTGCATTCCTGCTCTGGTCCTGGCAAAAGCATCACACACACACACAGGACCCTTTGTCCCCCCCCCTTCCAGCTTTGAAAGTATCTTGTCTCCTCATTGGTCATTTTGGTCAGGTGCCAGCGAGATTATCTTAGCTTCTTAACCCTTTACAGGTGACAGGGTTTTGCCTCTGGCCAGGAGGGATTTAAAGGTGTTTACCTTTCCCTTTATATTTATGACCATGTCTAAAGCAAAGGAAACAGGAAATGTCAATAACAATTCCAGTGTTATAAACATTTGTTGACTGTCAAGCAACTATTGTAAGCATTAAGATGCTGTACATTATAGCTGTAGAGATGATTGCTTATTCAAGTTCTGTACAGTGCCTAACATGATGGGGCTCTCAATCCCTTATTGGGGCCTCTGTGTGTTACTCCAGTGCGAATAATAATAACGCTGACCCATGCCAACCCTGCTTATCAAAGATCACAGATTGAGGTATGTGGCTGCAGGTAGAGTAGCGAAGAAATGAACACGTGTGATTTCCTTGAGACCTTTTCAACCAGAACACTTAACTGGCTGTGGGTTTGTTGCTTTGTTATGCAACATTGCATAATATACTTTGCACAGCACTGTTATTTGGGTCTATAGCGTAAAGTTCTGCACATTTTTATTTGTTTAAAATGCGTTTCCTGTAATATTCTTCCCCAGCTTAAAGATTTAGAGTCCATACATATACGTAAGTGCTTAAAGAAAAGTGGCACTGTAAGAGTACTACAAATAAAATGCTTTATATGTAGTAATTTGTCATGACTTTCAGCAAACTGCCCAAGTAAACTAAAATTATTTAGAATTGTTAAAGCTTATTAAATTCAACTAATAAAGATATATTAATATTTAATCTTCTGAATTGACGATTGTAACCTATTATTGTGCATAAGGTTGATGGGGTGGGAGACTGCATGTAACTGGCAAATACTATTCCTGCAGGTATCCCTAATGGTTTGTAAACAGGCACTGTGTCATTTAAAATAAAATGTAGTTTATTGTTGAGTATTGGAATGCCTCATAAAAATGGTTTTAGAGTTTAGTGTCAGGAAGACATAGAAACATCTTGAAATGTGAAGATGGCTATGCAGAATCAGCAGCTCTGTTATTTCTGATTCACTTAGTTCTAATAAACGTAGAAGGCTCTCATGTTGCTTCTACAGTATTTGTGCTTAAACTGCATTTTGAATTTGTATCTGTAATTCAAATAGGCTAAGTAGTATTTTGTCATGTTAATAATTTTGCCTGCAAAATATTTGAGTTTTGATCTGTGCGTTTATAGTGATCAATCCTCAAAGCATGAATGTACTTATTGTTAAAGCAGAGAGCAGAATACACCCCACAGTGTGCAATGTACTAGCATAACCAATGAAATTCATGTTGAAACCTAATTACTTTAATGAAACAATTCTTTAGTAAAGTAATTAATTTAGGATATGAAGAATTCATTATAAACATCAAAACAGTTAGTGGATACTAAAAAATTAAAAATATCGTGTTAGAACTGTTAGTGTCTAAATTTTTTTGCAAGACCGATAATGCTGTGCATACACTCTACCAAGTTTTACAATGTTGCCAAAATAAATAAACTAAGAGTGATTATCTTCAAATTTTTAAACAGTTCCCAGAGAGCATGAGGAGAGGTACAGCCACAAGGATCCCAAGGACCCTGCTCCCCATAGAAAGTCCTGGCTTTCTGGTTGTAGCCCACCCTCCCCACTGCTTCTCTGCCTTCAGGCAGGTTTGCTGGGCTGCAGCAGGCAGGAAAGGCATGTCCCAGCGCTTCCTTTCCTGGCTGCTTCCTCGCAAACCTACCTTCTGCTTATTAGCAGTAGCAGAGGCAGTAGCTAGACCGACGAAAGAATTCTTTGGTCAAACTAGCACTGTCTACATTGGGGGTTAGGCTGGGATAGCTACGTCTCTCAGGGGCATGGATTTTTCTCACCGCTGAGCAATCTGTAACTACACTAACGTAAAAATCCTAGTGTAGACTAGGCCTAAATCTTTTCCTTTGAATTCCCCTCTCCACGCCTGACATTGGCTACACGTTAATGGTCCAGGGTCAACTGGGTCTAAAGGCTCTCTTTAATTCTCTCATTGCCCATGTGGAGCCTAGCTGCCCCACTGGTCCCCTCATTGCTAGTGTGGGGCCTATCTGTTCTTTACCTAGTCTGGTTTTAAAGGGATGTGGTTCCACCACTTTGCTTGTGAGACAAGTGCTTGATCCTGCACCATTGAAGTCAATGGGAATTTTTCCATTGACTAGAATGGGAGCAGGATCAAATCTCCATTACGAAGTCTAATAGATTTCTCCATAGAGACATTTTTCGTAGTATTCATCCAAAATTTCTCCCCATTATTGTATAATCCCTTGTGTGACCCTTAAATGAGTGTTCCTCTTGAATTAATATAGATCCCCTGTTATGCTTATGATTATATCCCCTGTTATGCTTATGATTCCCCAAGTTATGCCTACAAAGTTATTTTAATGTTGTTTTTTAAGTTATCACCTTAATCATTTATGTTGGTCATCTGGTAGGTCTCTTCAGTTTGTTGAAATATTTCTAGTACTGAGGTGAGTATAACTGAAAGCAGTATTCTAGGCCTAGTTCAACTACCACAGTAGTCAATGGAAAGATTCCTCTTGACTTCTTTGGGAGCTGGATTGTTTGGAACTATTGTCTTTCTCAGAGAGAATACTCTCTCTAATTTCTGGGTTTTTTTTTCTTCAGTGCAATTGACTTTTTCTAGTAAAAACAAAAAACAATATACTACGTTTATCCAGGTAGGTGAAATTGAGATAATTCTTCTTTATATAGGTGTCTTACTGAAAGAGTATTTGCAGACACATTGCTTTTCTGTTATTGTGGGGTGATCTCCAAGTGTAAACTGGAAATAAGTATTACCATGCAGCAGCTACTTTATTTTGTTTTCCTCTGCTATTCTTCAGAAGAGCTGTCTTTAAAGAACATAGCTCTTCTTGGTGGAAATGTTATGCTAGAACTTTAGCATACCAAACAATCATGCTAAAATGCGTTATCTACTCACATTGTATCTAGTTAAAAGGAAAAAGTAGTTTCCTTGACAACATAATTTAACTTTTCACTGTTCTGGTCTAGTTGCTGGTATAAATAGCTAATATGTTTTTGTTCAAAACATCAATTAGATTTCAATATAATCTTTATTAATATAGAAGTGTTAATACAAGAAGGCTGCTGAGCTAAGATAATTTGCACAGCAGGAACAATAAGATAGCACCCTTCTCTTTTGTTGTATCCCAGATACATGCAAAAAGGAACAAAGCTCACTTAACAGTATATAGTATCTTCTACAATTAGAATCAAATATTTAGAACACTTGTTAGCATGTTTTTCTCAAATGTAAATTTATTACTGGAACATTTTAAAACAGTATATATTTAATAAACCAGTATGAATCCATCCCAGTCACACTGTGTGTTAATAACTCCTTATTAATATCCTTTTTTTTCTTCCGTCAGCCAAAACCCCACATTTCCTGCGTCTTCAGAGTGTGGAAGTCAATGCCGGACAGTTTGCCACTTTTCAGTGCACTGCCAATGGTAAAACGAATACAGGTGACCGGCTGTGGTTACAGGTAACTTATTTTCTTTCATAGTACAATGAGATTTTTGAAAGTATGATTCTGTCATCCCAAGGAGTGGCACAAGAAGAGATATTATAGCTCCTGTCTCATCAATACTAGCCTTAATAATGGATTTGAACCTTTCCATGGTATTTGTTCTTTTGAAGTATCTGATATTTCCTCACACGTCAATTATGAGTGGGTGAACACAGAAGGAGAAACACTGTGGTAGCTCTGTTACCACTGTGTGGTAATTAAGGGTAAATGCTCACTTTTTCCATAGTAACAGCTGTGCCTTTTGTCAGCAGCAAGCTGTAAGTGATGATGTTGGGTTGCATCTTTTAACCAGAATGCTCTATAGCACTGCCTATATCCAACATAGGATGCCCTATGTTAAAACAGAATTACTTTGAATAAACTCATATATTTTAAGGACAGAAAGTACCATTATGGTTATTTAGTCTGACCGTCTGCATATCACGGGCCATATCTCCTCACCTCAGTAAACTCCGCATAAGGGTCATAACTTCTGTTTGATTTATAGTGTATATTTTAGAAAGATTTCCAATCTTGATTTAAATTGTGGACTTTTTCCTAACTTTGCTTTCAGTCCAACCAGCCTTCTCTATTTGTATATGTAAACCTAAGTCAAACAAAAATGTTCTGCACTGGATCTCTTTCTCTCCCCCTGGGTTTTCCGAAGCTAGCTGTCTGCATGATGCCATACCTCCAGAATTGTCCCTTTTCTGCTTCACACATCAGTCTGAATTTGAACCTTGAAGTGGGGAAACACCAAAAATCTAAGTTACCTCAGGTCATAATGGCAACAGTGACACTCTGAGACCTTGAGTGCTAGAGGGAAAAGACAGTGTCTGAGATAATCAGATAAAATTGCAGGATGGGGTAGGGAAAATTAAAGTTATAGTCGATGGCGGGGAGAGAGACGAACTTCAGTTTTAGGGAGGTTCTGTCACCAAACAATTTCAAACCTTTTATGTTGTGTATCTTTAATTTATGAAATGCACCAAGTGTGTGGGGATTTCAGAAAAAATTAAAATGTGTGGAGTGTGGTAAAAAAGGTAAAACAATCTCAATGGAAGAGAAGGTTTTACCTGTGAGTAAATGGCTAACCATCCACTGTACCCACAAAAAGCCTGATCTGATACCCAGAGAAATCAGTTAATTCGTTTTAAGAAAAGGAGTACTCGTGGCACCTTAGAGACTAACAAATTTATTTGAGCATAACCTTTTGTGAGCTCACGAAAGCTTATGCTCAAATAAATTTGTTAGTCCCTAAAGTGCCACGAGTACTCCTTTTTCTTTTTGCGGATACAGACTAACAGGGCTGCTACTCTGAAACCTTAATTGGTTTTGTATTTCTATCGGAGTGGAGGATCTGAACAATACTCATGCTTCTAGGGTTTGAGCCCCAGCCCCAAGAGCTATGTGATTACATCAGAATCTCAGCATTCATGACACAAAAAAAGAAATCTAACCCTTCTTGTTATGGGGAGAAGTTTGAAAGGATTACCAGACTATAACTGATGCAGTGAGATAGTCAACCGTGAGATGGTCGAGTTCAGGATCCTGACACAAGGAATAAAGGAAAGCAGCAGAATTCGGACCATGGACTTCAGAAAAGCAGACTTTGATTCCCTCCGGGAACTGATGGGCAGCATCCCCTGGGAGAATAACATGAAGGGGAAAGGAATCCAGGAGAGCTGGCTGTATTTTAAAGAATCCTTATTGAGGTTACAGGAACAAACCATCCCGATGTGTAGAAAGAATAGTAAATATGGCAGGCGACCAGCTTGGCTTTTCAGTGAAATCCTTGCTGATCTTAAACACAAAAAAAGAGGCTTACAAGAAGTGGAAGATTGGACAAATGACCAGGGATGAGTATAAAAATATTGCTCGGGCATGTAGGAGTGAAATCAGGAAGGCTAAATGACACCTGGAGTTGCAGCTAGCGAGAGATGTTAAGAGTAACAAGAAGGGTTTCTTCAGGTATGTTGGCAACAAGAAGAAAGCCAAAGAAAGTGTGGGCACCTTACTGAATGAGGGAGGCAACCTAGTGACAGAAGATGTGGAAAAAGATAATATACTCAATGCTTTTTTTGCCTCTGTCTTCACAAACAAGGTCAGCTCCCAGACTACTGCACTGGGTAGCACAGCATGGGGAGGAGGTGGCCATCCCTCTGCGAAGAAAGAAGTGGTTTGGGACTATTTAGAAAAGCTGGATATGCACAAGTCCATGGGGCCGGATGGTTGCATCCGAGAGTGCTAAAGGAGGTGGCAGATGTGATTGCAGAGCCATTGGCCATTATCTTTGAAAAGTGCCGGAAGACTGGAAAAAGGCTAATGTAGTGCCAATCTTTAAAAAAGGGAAGAAGGAGGATCCTGGGAACTACAGGCCAGTCAGCCTCACCTCAGTCCCTGGAAAAATCATGGAGCAGGTCCTCAAAGAATCAATTCTGAAGCACTTAGAGTAGAGGAAAGTGATCAGGAACAGTCAGCATGGATTCACCATGGGAAAGTCTTGCCTGACTAATCTAATTGCCTTCTATGATGAGATAACTGGTTCTGTGGATGAGGGGAAAGCAGTGGACCTGTTGTTCCTTGACTTGAGCAAAGCTTTTGACATGGTCTCCCACAGTATTCTTGTCAGCAAGAAGTATGGGCTGGATGGATGCACTACAAGATGGGTAGAAAGTTGGCTAGATTGTCGGGCTCAACGGGTAGTGATCAATGGCTCCATGTCTAGTTGGCAGCCGGTATCAAGTGGAGTGCCCCAGGGGTCGGTCCTGGGGCCGGTTTTGTTCAATATCTTCATTAATGATCTGGAGGATTGTGTGGATTGCACCCTCAGCAAGTTTGCGGATGACACTCAACTGGGAGGAGTGATAGATACGCTGGAGGGTAGGGATAGGATACAGAGGGACCTAGACAAATTGGAGGATTGGCCAAAAGAAATCTGATGAGGTTCAACAAGGACAAGTGCAGAGTCCTGCACTTAGGACGGAAGACTCCCATGCACCGCTAGAGACTAGGGACCGAATGGCTAGGCAGCAGTCCTGCAGAGAAGGACCTAGGGGTGACAGTGGACGAAAAGCTCGATATGAGTCAACAGTGTGCCCTTGTTGCCAAGAAGGCCAATGGCATTTTGGGCTGTATAAGTATGGGCATTGCCAGCAGATCGAGGGACGTGATCGTTCCCCTCTATTCAACATTGGTGAGGCCTCATTTGGAGTACTGTGTTCAGTTTTGGGCCCCACACTACAAGAAGGATGTGGATAAATTGGAGAGTCCAGCGAAGGGCAACAAAAATGATTAGGGGACTGGAACACATGACTTATGAGGAGAGGCTGAGGGAACTGGGATTGTTTAGTCTACAGAAGAGAAGAATGAGAGGGGATTTGATAGCTGCTTTCAACTACCTGAGAGGTGGATCCAAAGAGGATGGATCTGGACTATTCTCAGTGATAGCAGATGACAGAACAAGGAGTAATGGTCTCAAGTTGCAGTGGGGGAGATTAAGGTTGGATATTAGGAAAATCTTTTTCACTAGGAGGGTGGTGAAATGCTGGAATGCGTTACCTAGGGAGGTGGTGGAATCTACTTCCTTGGAAGTTTTTAAGGTCAGGCTTGACAAAGCTCTGGCTGGGATGATTTAGTTGGGAATTGGTCCTGCTCTGGGCAGGGGGTTGGACTAGATGACCTCCTGAGGTCCCTTCCAACTCTGATATTCTATGATTCAGTGATGTCTGCCTCAGTCTGCAGAGAGACTGCAACAATATCCCTGAGAGCTGTGAACATCCCCATTGAACAGTATGGAGGTTTAAGTCCAAAATGCCGCTGCTTTGGGGGGACGTCTAGCACATGTGTGCACACACATAGTAGGGTGGCCACCTGGTGACTACATTTTAAAATTTAAATGTGCAGGTTTCATTAGTCCTTGCCATTGGAGGGAGGTTTCTGCATACTGTACTCACCAACTAGTACGCAGAACCCTCCCTCCAATGGCAAGGACTAATGAAACCTGCACCTTTAAATTTATAAAATATAATGAAGGTGTGAAAACGTTAGCAGGTGGTCACCCTAACGCATATCCAAACAGAGGACTATACATGTAGCAGGAGGAAAGTGTAGCAGGTCCAGCTCCCACAAACAAGCAGATAAACCCCAGCCGTTGGGGTGAGTACACAGGGCCTTCCTCCCCAGCCACTCTTCTGAGGACTAGGGGGCACTCTTGGGGTTGAAAAAGGGGCCTAATGCTACTACACCAGTCTTCTTGGGGCTATAGTGGGCTCGGGGCCATGGAGTGAAGCCACTAGGACATTGTTCTTTGGTGTGCTTAGGCCCCAGTTTGCCTCAATCCAGCTCTGTGTACTTTGCAATCTGTGCCAGACAGAGCACTGACTGGTGCCCATGACTCATTGGCTTGGCCCCTGACTGCCATGGTCTCCCTTCTAGGACACACATGTTGTGTGGGCTGGGATGGTCTTGATGAACTAAGAGAGCTGTTGCTCACGGCTTTGCCTCAGTGAAAGCAGCACAGGAAGAGGAAGCAATAGCCAGGTCTGGCAAGGCAGAAAAAACAAAATATTGGGCACCTGGCTGTAGCAAAATGACAGATTCTAATGCCAAAAATGGAATTCTGTGACAATTGGGCAAAACAGACAAAAACATATCCTTTTTAGAGAGAATATAGTTTGACAAAAAAGTTCCCATAGAGCTCTACAATGGATTGCTATTATCATAGTTGATGCTGGCTGTACATTATCTGACAGAAGAATTAATTTCATTTAGCTATCTGACTGAAAATATCCTTCATTGTAACAGTACACTTTTGTTGTAATGCTTATCAGTCCTTAGGTTTGTCCCATATTCTGTGGCTCACACTTTCATATTTTCCTTTAAATACGGTAGAAAGGCTTTTTTTACCATCGTTCAGACTGCAATGGTGAATTTATTACTGCCATTTTCTTTAAGGCCCTGACCTCGTAGAAATT